AAAGCAGACTGAGTCAGCCGTGTGGAGCAAGCTCGTCAGCAGATTTCCTCTATGGTTGCTGCTTGAATTCCTGCCCTAACTTTCATTTGACTTCTTTGCACAAATCCATTCTTTCAGTCCGGTGGTAATGCACACCTCCAATCCTAGCACTCAGGGAGGCAGAGGCAGGCAGAACTCTGTGAAACCCTGTCTCAAATAAAAACAAAAACAAACAAACAAAAATCCATTCTTTCAACTGAGCAAATTTCTTCCATCCACTGTTAACTTACTAGCAAAGTGCAGGGATTCAGAAAAATGGTTTTTTGCTTGTTTGATTTTTGAGACAGGGTCTCTCTGTGTAACAGTCCCAGCTGTTCTGAAACTTGCTTTTTAGACCAGGTTGGCCTTGAACTCACTGAGATCCACCTGACTTTGCCTCCCAAGTGCTAGAATTAAAGGTGTGCACCACCACTACCTGACTAGAAAAGTATTTTTTTAAAGGTACCAAATGAAAGAAATATCTGAACATCCTTATAAGGACTAGAGAAGCTATTTGAACATGTTTTTTTTTATTGTTTTTTTTTTCTTTGAACCCTCACTATGTATCTTTGGCTGGCAAGGAACTTGCCATGTGGACCATGGTGGCATCAAACTCACAGAGATCTACCTGTTTCTGCCTCAGAAAGCTGGAATGGTGAAGGGCATGAACCACCAGATCCAAATTCCTTGGGTTTTAAAATTTCTAGGACAGTGTGTAGTCTAATTTATTTCAGCTATATGATGATGAATGTAGCTTCATGGATTGGCCAACACTCAATGTCTACCTTATTGCATTGTTAGTGTTTTTAAAACATGTCATTAACAAAACATAATTCTCAATACGACAAATTTTTGTGATGCCCTTCCACCAACACATGACAAAAGTAACAAACCAATGATCTTATAGCCAAGATCCCTACCTCATGTCCCCACTATTACTTGTCCATGTTTAAAGTGGTAAGAGAAACACACCAGAAATTATTTTTTTTTGGTTATTGTTACCGTTCCTAGAGAAGATGTTGCCTTGGATTTGTGCTCAAGTAAAATTGCTATTCAAAGAAAATAAAAACATTAGTTTTAAATTTATCATTTTTAAGTGGCAATAGTTGTTTAACCAGAATTTTGGTATATCGTTGGAAATGAGGATCAAAGTGAACTTGTTCTTTTAGAAGCAATCAGTTTCTAATGACAGTGTTTTCTCCTGATAAGATCACAATCAAATGTGAGCACACTTTCCGGAAGCAAATGGAAGAGGTCATCTTCATCACCACCATATAATCTCTATCCAGGTTATGCAGCTCACCATACCATTCTTCGGAGTTGTTAACAGGTATCTCTGGCTATCTCCTAACTGTCTCTAGCTCCGTCTCCCCACTGACCAACTGGGAGACATCGAATACTATTCCGGGTCTTGAAAACGCTCAAGGCACGCTAACATATTTTAGAATGTGAGAAGTCTTGCAGTTAGAGATAATCTGCTCAAATTTGCTTAGCCCAGCATTTCCCCAAAGTTAACTTTCTCAAGATTAACTATAGCGTTTCACACCCCTCCATACAACCCCACCTCCAGACCCCCCATTCCTCAAAGCAACTTTGGGAACAGCTTGCAGAACTAACTCCATAAAGCAGAGTTTGGGAACTCTACTTTAGTGGTTTCTATCCCCACAGACTTTGCTGTCTGAATAATATATAAGGAGTTTTGAGTGACAATTGCACCCATTTGAATATATCTCCAACTGACTCCAAAATTAGAAGTTTGAAATGCAAATTTTCGGAAAGCAAACTGTCTTTCCCATCTAGACATGCTGCTGAGATGTATTTGATTTTGTATAGGCTCCTATCCCTCGCCACCATATCTGCTATAGGTTACAGGAGAAAAAGGCTGATAAACATTGAACACAAATATGATTAGCTAGGTTTAAATTCTATGCAATGGAGATCCCTGACAATCTTAATACGATGACTGCATACTTGATTTTGTTTATCTACATAGTTCTTTGGTATATGCCTCTTGGGACAATTGGGATAATGGAGACCTCTTCATTTACCCTCTGTACAAGATGTGTATTGTGCACCTGTGTTCCTATGGGGGAAAATATGGGGCCTTTTGTACTGAGCCTCTGATATGGCAGCGGAGAATCTTCAAACATACTAGACGTCTAACTTCCCATCGCTGCGCTTCAATAAACTTCTCTACTTCGCTACTTGGCTATGCATTAAATCTTCGCATACACAGAACAATAAAAAACAGGGCAATTTTTAAGGTATAGCTCTGTTGGCTGGATTATGAAGATTAGCTGCTTAGCTGATGTTTAAAGAAGTCATTGAAAGTAAGCACAATCAAAAAATAAAACCCTGAAAACCATTTCAATATCAACAGGAAATGAAGCAGACAGGGTGTAGTCAAGACACCACTTTCTGCTAAGTAACATCACAAGGGATTACCACATTTAATTCTCTAAGGAATTTGATAGAGTCTGGCTCCAAGCAAGACTTATCATCAGGAAAATACATAATTATTCTCCTGGCAAAGGTGTACTTACAGAATACACAGGTTTGATGCAATTTAAAATTTAGGTCACTGGTATTGAGGATATGTTTAAATGGGATGAGTTGGGTTTCTTTCTTTTTTTCCATTTTTTTCTTAGATAAATTCTTTTCTCATATAAAAATATATCCTGATTATGGTTTCTCTTCCTTCTACTCCTCCCAGTTCCCTCCCACTTCCCCTCCCATCTGAATCCACTCCTTTTCTGCCTCTTCTGTCTCTCATTAGAAAATAATAGACTTCTAAAAAAAACAAAAACATAACAAAATATATTAAGATAAAACAAAAGTTTCTATATCACAGTTGGACAAGACAAATCAACAGAAGGATAAATGTTCAAGAGAAGGCACAAGAAACAGACACGCAGGAGTCCCACATAAACACCAAACTGGAAGCCATAACATATACACAGAGGATCTTGTATAGCCCCGTGCAGGCTCTGTGCATGCTCCTTCAGACTCTGTGAGTTCCTATGTGCTTTAGAGGGCCATGGGTGTCTTATGAATTCTCTAGTATCTTCTGACACCATCTCCTAGAGAGACCTTGCTCTCTCCCCAAAGTAGCCTATGTCTGTCTCCTGTCACCTTGTCCGTTCACAGAATTCTCATCATTTCTAAAGGCTGACCCAAGAGCTTTGTTTCCAAGTGTGCAAGGCCTCTCAGCTTCACACAAATCTTAGAACTACGCTAGCATTCACTGTTTCCCCAAATGGGGCGTGTATGTCACTGCTTACACACAGGGTAAAGAACTTGGGTACATTTTTTATGTTAAGAAAGTGATTAATATATTTTTTATTATATTATATATATTATATTATATGTAATATATTTTTTATTATAATAAAAATGTACCGCCATTTACTGAGTATTTCCTTGTAGTGCCAAGCAAAAAATCAAATATATTAACTTGATTGGCCTTCATAAGACCTGTGTGCTGCTGGCTCGTATTATCTCCAGTAAACGAAATGGAGATACTGGGAAGATAAATAACTTGCTCAAGACCATGCAGCAATTAGAAAAAGCCAAAAACTCAATGACAAGAAGTTGAGCAGGGAGCCCCACTTTGCCATTGTGGGGACCCAGGCATGTGGTAGAGTGCTCAGATAGGCAACTTTTAACTGAATTGCCTAAGTACAATTTTAAGGAAGATATGTCTGTGAGCATAAAATAAATGCATCTAATGGCCAGGGAAAGATGTAGCTCAATTGGTAAGCACTTACATAGTATGCAAAAAGCCCAAGGTCCAATCCTAGCGCCAGGTAGAGTAGCACAGTAGAGCCTGTCAGTAAGGTAATTCAAGGTCATCCTTAGCAACATAGCAAGTGTGAGGCCAGCCTGGACTTCATATTTCATCTCAAAAAAATAATAAAATAAAGCCATTCAAGTTGTATGCGAGTGTCTGGAGCAGTAGTGATGGTGCTGGAACGTGTGTGTGTGTGTGTGTGTGTATACTCGAGATTAAGACTTCTTGTGCGTGTGTGTGTGTGTGTGTGTGTGTGTGTATACTCGAGATTAAGACTTCTTGTGCTCTCAAGACGACAGTCGACAGGCAGAAACTTAGGTCACATATAGCTGTCATCGCTCCGGAGATGCAAAGCCCCGACTTTTAACTTACGTGCTTTTCTTCTTGCTCTGAAAACTGTCTTGATCAGGTGGGATCTTCCTATTTTTGCACATTTTTTAGACATACAGTCATATTTCTATGGAAATATAAATAATTCAAATAAGTCTGAAAAAGCAGGGCCTCAATTACTGTATATTACAATTTGATGGAAAAATACTTAAACTTAAGAAAGAGCTGACAGCTGGATCATAAGCATTACAGCAAGTTCCTGGTGTCTTCTCCAGAGGTTTAAACAGATTATTAATTTTTTTTAAGGGCAGAAGTTTAAGGTCTGGCTGGGGAATAGAGACCCATTCTGTCTGACACTTCCCAATTCAAATCGAACATTTATCAAATGATTCATAAGTAGTGTACTTTTTAAAAAGGAGCTGGCGGGCTGGGTATATTAAGCATTCATTATTATAAATTTGTATTTTAAAAACCCAGGCTCCTTTCAGTAAATATGCAAAGGTTTCTCTGACAATTTCTCTCCTTTTTCATAAAGCAACCTCTCACTGAAATATTTTACATAAGCCCTTATATCTAAAGTGGATTCCTGGCATCTGGGAGTTCAAAGTCTCCCCCAAATTCAGAACCGGGGAAATGCTCCATAATTACAGCTCATTTGAGAGTGAGTCATAAAGTAATCAAAAATGTTCCGAACCAAAAAGGCACCATCTTAGAGTGACGTCTGAGCTAAACAAAGCGCTGTTAGCGATGACACTTTCCTAGCAATTTCTTACGAATGAGACGGGAGGACGACGTGGGCTGCCATGGCTTTGAGAAGGTATCTACTGGCCAAAACGGGCATTAACCAGACACCACTGGCCGACAAGGTGTGAAAAACCAAATGCTTTAATGAGGCTATGAAGAACAACAGTTCAATTATTTCATTGGATACATTAATCTCAATCAGAATATACAGTGCTGTGGACCGTACAGAAAGAGTTGCTGCGCCCCACAGCGGGGGCTGCTATTGACACTAGAGTAGCAAGTGTCCGCAAGACACAGTCACTTGTTGTCTTTGTCCAGAAGTCGGCTTCTTTTTCATACTGTTAGCGACATCAACTTCTCCCCAGTGCATTTTTCAAAAATATGAATAAGTGCATTCCTTTGTGCTTTGTATCTTTAATGTCCTGTGTATTTCATTTGTTCTTATTGCTTTATCGTATACAAACAACCAGACTGAGCTGTGTCATGACCTGGGTCTGACCAGATTGGTTGTGAAGCTTTTTTTTTCCTTTTCTTTTCTTTTTCTTTTTTTCTTTTTTCTTTCTTTTTTTTTCTTTTGGCAAAGTCAGAAGGTTTGGTATTTCCATTATGTTTACCCAGAGGAAGGTGGATAATTTTGGTATTTTGAGCACTCCAAACAGAGGTACAACCCTGAGTTACAATTCTGCACCCAGGGGTGGGTGAGTGGCATGGATCTTTCCTTAAAAACAGTGAGCAAAAATACTGCCTCTTGGCTTAAGCAGTCCCTGAAAGAATCCACATTCTCGCTGGCACAAAAGAAATAAATGAAACTACCCCCATGTTGCAGCCTCTGAATTGCTCGCCTGCCTCTCCCAGCCGCTGTGTCTTATGAGGAAGGCGTTAGGAAGCCGGCAGTGGCAAGCCCAGGGGCTACAATTCTGGGTAGCAGTGGAATGTGCCATACTTTCTCCCAACAAACTTTCTAGAAAGTTGCTCTGCCTTGGTCAAACTCACTCAGCCATGGGTTACTCAATCTTGTGAAACATTGCTCAATTATTTAAAAAGAAAAACAATATTGTCAGAATCAACTAAGAAAACCTAGCATCATAGCATTGCGATCTTCAGTTTCCGCGTCCAGCCCTCTCCCGCCACCCACGGCAAATGTGAAGAGGGAAACAATGCTATGGTTGTATCAGTGAACACTACGGTACAGTTATCTGTTCATGCAGAGCTGCACTTCTATTCTAGGAAAAGAGTCACGCACTTAAGGAGGTCGAAAGAACGGGAACTTATTTTCCCTACCCCCTTAAGTCATAAAGCTACAAGGCTGAATAGCATCGTCAGTGTTTCTTACCCAACATGCATGGGAACCGCACACTTGACAATTCTCACCAAAGCCATCCATTCATACATCTGACAATCCTCTTGGATCCCCCCCATCACCCACCACCAATTCACATTTGACGTTTAAACACTTTTAAAAAAATCCCTCCTGAAAAAGGCTTTTCCTGATGAAAGAATTTGGCACTGTCAGTAAAATATATTTCATATTAAAAATATCTGAAGGGAAGTTGGAAGCTCTAAGAATGTCTGCAGAGGCACCGCGCTACTTCTCTCCTCGCTCCAGATACCTCCGTGAAACCTTCTCTTTAGAGTTCAGTCAGTGCTGGTCCAGAAGAGACTGCTGAGATAGTTAAGGCACTTCATTCTGAAGGATATGCTTTATGCCACTCGCTACTCAATCACAGGCTGCTACTGAGAAATTCCATTCAACAGCCTGGCGTGCAACACTATATATCATCTGTATAAAACATAGACGGGATACATGGAACGCTACAGTTATTGCATAGGGCTACGCAAGTAGGAAATCACAAAAACTAACCTTACAATGTTGCCGCTTTGTTAAAACATTGTTATCAAGTAATTTGCCAATACAGCATTTCCCTCTTTAAGAAGAAGCCAGCCAGTTTACTGAAATAAATCCCAATTTAAGGGACCAACGTGGGCATAGTAAATGCTGTGGTTATCAGTCTTCAAGAATATAGTTATTTTCATATTCCTAGAAATGCATATGTAAGTATTTTTTTTCTAGAAAGCCTGGTTTTTAACCTATTAATACTATATCTTAAATGTGTTCAAAAACAGTTTCAAGTGATACTGGAATATACAAAATGTTTGCAAAGCTCTCTTTGAACACAAGACCTTGCGTAAAAGTAGTCTTTCGTGGGTGTACAAAGAACGCGGAGAACTACCAGTGAGTTGTAAAAATATTGAAGACTCATCATTTCAAGATGCATATTCTTACAAAGTAATACAAACATTGAAAAAAATGATGGTAATAAAGAATCTATACAACCAAAATGACTAAAACATAATTTAAAAATAAAAATAGTAAAGCCAATTAGAAATGCGCCCAGTTCGGTTATCTTTATCAAAAGCAAAAATGTAAAAAAAAAAAGAGAAGAAAAACAAAACCAAACAAACAAAAAAAAAAACAAAAAAAGGAAGCAAACTTCCGGTGCTCCTCGATATTTTACCCAGAGAAGACATTCATTTCTGCTTCAAAATAAAACACATCTTATGAAAAATTGAATCACACTTATTATGAGGAAAACTGTAACTGTGCCCAATAAAAGCCAGAAAGGTCAGATCCTATGTTTCATGCCTTGGTCTAATAACTCCCTTCAGTTTTGGTTTATCATAAGTTACATTTTCTAACCAGACAATCCTCATGAAAATGACTGATATATTTGTCTTTATGTAATGTATTCTTCTTTTAAGTAGTTTTCAGTACAAAGACTAACTGATGCTGGGAGGGCCCTGTGTCTTTAAGGCAGGACCAGGGAATCAATGCATTCATAAACGTGGGAAAGGCTTGGATGTCTTTTCCACTTTTCTCTTCGTCATCATCTTCGTTCTCTTCTTTTGGTTGCTTTACATTTGTGTAATTACACTTTACAGGTTAATTTCCAAGGAGGTCACAGACAGACAAAGCTCACAGCAAGCTTAGTTTTCCCCTGAATGAAAACGGACAGACACTTCTCTGAAGCAAATGTCCCCTTGCTCAGAAAGCTCACACTTCGAGAAATCAGTTCACAGATACTGAACACTGATGGTACAATACTTTGGAGGCCTTTGTAGTTGTAAAATAGAATATACAAGTCTGGCTCACAAAATTCTAAAAATAAAATATATCCTGGGCTACTGATAAAGCACAAAAAAATTCATATTAAAGGAAAATTATCAAGAAAACCTCTTCAGGTAAATGATGAAGTCTGCTGAAGAAGAGAGGAAGCAGTTTGTGCAGGGGCAGAGCAAGGCTAACACGCATGCTCTGTTTCTTCTGCGCTCATACTGCTCCTCCGGCTACTTGTTTTAGAAGCTCCTGGGGACACTGAAGACAGCAGCGGGTCAGTGACACCAACGGGCGAGAGGGCATCGTCCATCAGGATGTCTTCCAAGTTGGAGCCCATCTTCCTGGGGATGCTATAGGCCGGGCTGCTCTCCGGCACGGTGCCGAGGTTATTGGTGAAGGTGATGGTACCGTCCGTGAGATCCAGGGTCGTTGTACATGTCAGGTCTGGCTGGTGTTGCACAAGTTCCTGGCTGCAGTTCTCAAGAACCGGTTCTTGCTTGATGATCCGGTTCACCAGATCAGGTGAGCAGAGACCGGTAGATGGGATAAGGGAAAGTCCGTGCGCTCTAGCCTGCATCTCAAGCTCCTGCAACCAAGCGAAAGTCAGACAGTTAAGTGGGTGTATGCGCACGACTGACTTCCGCTGCAGAGAAACAATGGAAGAGGGTGTTAGGGGCAGTTGCCCAAACCCATGGAGTGTACATTACGTTGAGCATCTCTACCTAAGGCTTTTAAGGAGAAGAAAACTAACAAAGGGGCCCCTGTGGCGCCTGTGTTGATGGTTTAGAGGGACTAATGGTCAGGTGATATGTGGAACTGTTTGAGGTTTGCATTCGACTGTACTGTGAACCTGAGACTGCTTTTAATAACAGAAGTCTACTTTCTATTTTTAAAAAAATCAGAACATAGGAACAAACAAATATAAATTGTCAAAGTAAAGTTTGCTACTTTTAAAAAATAAATTCTGGACTTTCCAAAATACAGGTGGCATTTTTATATAGAAAATTCCCTATCAGATGGTATATATTTTATTATAAATTACAAATAGAATCACTCTCTTGCAAAGATTAATGATTAAAAACGAGTATAAGCACCCAATCATCAAAAGCAAAGTCCACCTACAGCAAATGGTGGCATAGGTGTGGGGAGACAGGAATCCGCACACATTGCTGGTGGGACTGTGAACTGCTGCAGCTGCCACAGCAGCCAATGGAGAGGTTCTTCAACACAGAACTACCCCGTGGCCCCCTTCATACCCTTGAGCACGTTCCTGAAGGACTCTAAGCCACACGACATAGAGATCCATGCGTACTGCTGTGCTGTTCACAACGGCCAAGACGCATCAGCAGATGAGCTGCTCAGGAAAATGTGATACACCTATACACTAGAGCTTTGTACGGCTCTAAAGAAACACTGAAATCATTTTCAGGAAAATGAATGCCACTGGAGATCCCCGAGGGAAACAAAATAACCCAGACTCTCTCTCAGTGGCATCTAGAGATGTTTTAAAGTTTGCGTGCATGTGTAAGACATTGGACTAGACGGCCGCTGCAGGAAGGGTGAAGAGTGCCAGGGGAAGGAGGCTGAGTGGCACAGAGGGTAATGGTGGTGCTCCATGATTCATGGGCATTGAAATATTACGAGGAAACGCATCTTTTTGTACAATGCAGATAAGCTAATAAAAGTATAAAATGACAGCTAACAGAAATATAACGCCAAGTAAACAGTAATACAGCAATACATAGATAGTAATACAACAATACATACAAACTGCTTGGGAGATACCTTAAGATTTCAAGGGAAATGGCGTGGCTCTCTCAACAACTCCCCAAACCCTGATTTAGTGTGAGGGCACTACCCATTTTCAGTGCCCAGTCTCAGTGTAGGTACGCCATGAACTTTTCAACCCCCATTTTCAGGGTGAGTGTGCTACATCATTTCCAGTCCTCGGTTTCAGGGGAAATGTGCTACACACATTTCAGTCCCCAGTGTCAGCGTCAGGGCACCACACACTTTTCGGTCTCTCCTTTGAGGGTGAGCCTGCACACGCACACTTTCCGGTTGCCTCCCAGCTTCTGGAGAGGCTGCAGTGACAAGGACCTCGTGAGCATTGACACGGAATGGGAGGCAAGGGAAGCTTACTTAATCTAACCCAAGGCCTCTAATAAATTGTGTACTCTCTAGAAGCGCTGTAGAATAGTAACTACCAGAGTTAGGGTTGGGGTTCAAAAAAAAAAGCCAAATCACACAAAATGCCTATTTTTCAGTTATATGCATTTCCTTCAAACCCATACTAAGCTGCTAAGATACAAATATTCAATTGTTTGGGTGTGACAGAAACAGTGGCCATTTCTTTGGTTTCTAGTTACTAAGATACCAATGAGTGCCGTGAAGAAAACATTCTCCATGTTTCACACAAACAACCAGAGTTTCCTGAAATCTAACCAGCCTCACTCTGGCAAAGGGAAACCTTTACTTTTTTAATTCAGCAAGAAAGTTTTCATCTATCACATAACTTATCTTTTACCACGTGTACTTTCTTACTGTGGGCTGAACTGTGCTCCTACATACACTGGAGTCCGCACTCTGGGTCCTCAGACCATGAGAAGACTGACTTACAGTCTTCGGAAGAGGTGGTTAAGATAAAATGTCGCCAAGTCTGCAGGCAGGGTTGATCTCTAACAACCTCCAAATAGTGAGAAAGCTAATGACCGCCATTTCACCTCCTCTGCTCAGGGGCCTTTTGTCACAGTGGCACTGGCTAACTGATGCACTTTGTAAATAAATCTGTGACTTGTCGGACCTCATTTCGAGATGCCTTCAATCCATGCTCCCCTCTTAGTTTTGATGAATCCTCACGTATTCCTAAAAGGAAGAGCAGGGATCACCAATGCTCTTCCCGTATGTCAATGCTGTCCTATGCTAGCGAGAAAAAAAAAAAAAAAAAAAAAAACACTACCATAAAGAGCAGATGGGAAATATGCCCTTTGAATTAGTCAGAGAGGAAAGGTACTTGACACATGACATGGACTCTCGACTTGGCCCACAAGTGTGTGGTCTGTCTTAAAAGTGTTGGATCTGTGAGCTCCTCAGTGAGGGACACACGAGCGTGAGAAGCCACATGAGTGTCTGCCTGCTCCTTCAGCCCAGCTCCAGAAACAAGCCTGGCTGGGCATCATGCTGAAGCCCTGGGCTATTTAGGAAAATAATTCCCCTGGTAATAAGGCTTCCTGCTCTTTCTTCCATGAAGACTTCTGCATGCACCACTTAGCCTGCAAATGAAGGGAAGGCCCCAGGCCTTGGCCGAAAACACAAGCTCTTGAAACTCTACACCAGCAAGAAGAACAGCAGTACAGCTTGTCTTTCCAACCAACAAGCAGATAAATTAACTCAAGAGGATGCAAACATCTTACCGCGCTCCTTTGTCGTTTAACCAAGAGTGTTTACCGACAGATTCCAACAGTTTCTTCAGTTTCTAAATGAGGTGTTAAATCGCGTGCAGAGCTCTGAGGCTCTGTGGCTTGGTAGAGCTTGCCTAATTAATGATTTTTCCTGTGACAGGCAAAAGGGGTAAAGCCAGCGTCACAGTCACCAGGAGAAGGCCAAGAGGGCATTGCCACGGGATTGCCGAGGCCCATATTGTACAACATTCACATTCAATATGAGTATGCAAGTTTGGAACCTGAACACAAAACTTGGCTTCTCTTTGGAAGAACTTCCTATATTTTAATAATTTGATAAGGAAATAACATAAACTACCTTGATAAACGGGTACACTGAGCACCAAGTGATAAATAACCAAGGCCGTTGTGTAGAAGAGATGCAACATGAAACAAATAACCAATTTGAGGGGAGGGACAGAGCTCATGTTACATCCAGTCTCGGTTTAACTTTCTGGATTATAGAGCCCAGCCCCAGGGGAGAGCCACCTTCTGCCTGCTGGTCCCATGACTGAGGATCACTGCAGGCACCACAAACGTGTTATCTTGGAGGGAGATGTGAAGTGCTGAGCACTGGGAAGATGGGTGTTTAAGGTTCCTGACGTATGCTCTGGAACACTGAACACCCATCAGGCGGAAGGCAGTGTAGATCCATTCGCGCTTGCGCTTGACAGCATCCATGAGTACTAACTTCTGCCTAGGTGAAGCTTGTCTGACACCCAGCCAGCAACATACCCTCCCTGGCCTTAGGAAACACACACTTCTTATGCTGCTTGGGGGCTACGTAAGATGAAAAATGCCCAACCAAACCCACAACACTGTGGCTGATAAGACACTTTAACAGGCTGTAACTCGGAAGACTGCTATAACAAGACCTTGACCTGGACGGGGCCTCAGCCGCCTGGAAGAGAGCCTGCAGGGAACTTGAATTCGCCACTCTGCACATGCCAAGAGTGATGGGTAAAGTAGCATCAGGGTTAATTCCGAGTTACCAACATGTTTTACCAGTAGGTAAATTCACAGGTACTGAGACCATGTCTCCAGCTCCCTCGGGAGGCAGCACATTCTCCTTCCTCTTGTCCTGAAATCACTTTACATAGCATAGGGCAGGCACCTGGACTCGGAGCAGCAGATGCCGGTTAGCATGTTCCAGCTTCTTCTGCCGGTTCTCAAGGTCCTTGGCACGTTGCTGCTCTCGCTGCAACTTTCGGATGTAGTCCACGGAGGCCTTTAGAATGGTTCCCTTGTTCCACCGCATGTCCCTGTGATAAGATGGAGGACAATGGACCCTTTTAGGAACTGAGGTTCAAAGAGAATTCAGCATTCAGTGTCTAGGGAGAATAGCAATTGTACATCAGTCATGGCTAGTGCTCGTTGAGTGCTCACCACGCAATGACCACTGGCCGCTCATTTGGTATGCGTCATCTTACTTTCTCCAGGTGAACGCCTTTTGTAAGGCAGAGACATTGTGCAGATGTTGAAACCGATACCGTACGATTCCATCTAGATCATAGACCTCTCACTACATAAAATTGATGATTTAATTCATGTGTGCTGTGTGGGTTACCAAATCTTGTTTGAAAAATGTCTGAAGTGGTTGTATATACCTGGGACTATACAGGTTTATTCACTGGAACGGGACAAGCACAGCAGAAGTCCTAGGAGAGCCCACCACTTGTCTGTGCTGTGAAAATGCCACTCTTGGGTTTTTATTTGTTTTGTCTTGTTTTGTTTTCCAAGACAGACTTTCTTTGTGTAGCCTTGGCTGTTCTAAAACTCGCTCTGTAAACCAGGCTGGCCTCTAACTCACCGAGATCTGCTTGCCTCTTCCTCTGGGGTACTGGGATTAAAGGCGTGTACCACCACTGCCTGGCTCACACTTGGATTTTTGTCACTATAATGGGGTGTCTGTCATCTAACCTTTCTCTGTACCCATTTTCTCGTCTTCAAAATGATGACACTACATGTGTATCAGTAGCCTTGTAAGTGCAGAATTGGAATCAAAGGAGATGCTCTATAGGATCTTGAGAATGCTAATCAATACTCGAACAATAACTGCACAACCGGGGTGTGAAACCTAGAGAGATGCCATCCTGGAATCCCAATCTCAACAGCTGCCAACAGGTGTGACTCTCAGTTTCCTCACTGTAGCTCCAGTGTACCCATACAAGAAAATTATCATCATCAACGAAATGTGGACAAAAGCCATGCTGGTTAGATCTTGGTCAACTCAACATGAGCTAGGGTTATCTGGGAAGAGGAAATTTCAGTTGAGAAAATGCCTCCATCAGACTGGCCTGCAGACCACAAACGTGTAGGGGTATTTTCACGACCAATGATGGATGTGGGAGGGCCCAGACTATTGTGGGCTGTCACTCCATGAATGTGGTCCTTGGAGAGAAGACAAGCTATGCAGAACAAGCCAGGTAGCAGCAATTCTGTATACCTCTCCCTCAGTTCCTGCTTCCAGATCCCTGCCTTGATTCCTTCAGTAATGGACTATGATCGGAACATGAAATCCAAATAAAAATGACCTCCCTGAGATGCTTTTGGTCAGTGTTTACCACAGCAACAGAACGCAAACTACGACAATGTCACCCTGAAAATCTGAACGCCCCAGAACAAACAATAAAGAATGAACTAAATTTGAGGAAGTGGTCTTTCTAATCTCTTCTGTAAATAATCTCAACACAGTGATGGCAATGAGGACGATAAAATGAAGACCTATATTTTACCTGATATAAATAGAACCATCAACCCCATCACCTACAGCTACTAAGAGCAGATCAGAAGCAGCCCACGGAATAGGTGAGTGGCAGGCCATTAAAACAAGCCACCTAGTAACTGATTCTCACATCGGTTGGCTGAGGAAAAAAACAGGTCTTCTCCAGAGAGAAGGATAGCCACAGCTCCCATGGGTCTCCAGTGTCTGGATACTAAAAGGTGTCCCAGGACACCCAGAGTGAACACAGGAAACAATTCTCAAGGCTAAAAATCAAAGCAGCAAAAGCTGTAGCGGCCAGCAGAAACACAACTATAATGGAGGCTGCCTTATGCGGGATGCCACAGTGAAAAGTCAGAGGTGGGCTTTTCAAGCCAAGCCACGGGTCACTCAGTTCTCAAGAAAAATGTCTATCAGTTATCTGGGGTGTACTTCCTTATGAGACTAATCAAGTATGTTTCTTGGCTTAACTAGATTCAAATATTGCATTTTGGTAATTAGAGGAACCCATTCCCATGCACAGGTAGATATACTTTCCAAATACATAAAATCAACCAAAGCTCACTTGTTTCAGGGGAGGAGTGGGCATGTGCTGAGACACTAGTCAGGTAAAGTGTGTCTCTATTTAGATTCCAAGGCACACTCTGGAAACCTGGCTTTGGAAAACCACTATCCATATTACAGCCTGTTTTATGTTGAGACAAGTGTCTACCACGCCAGCTCCCTATCAGCTCAGGTTCCAAACATGTAAGCACTCTACTACAATGGAGGGGACATGCAAATCCAAGCTCACACCAGGGCCCATAACTTCATAATCTGTTACTGAAAAGATTCGCGCACTACAGTTTTTAAAGGATATGCTAGAAAAGGGAAAGCTGATAAAGACCAGGAAATGGGAATTCCATTTCAACCATCATGCAAGACTGACTAGAAGAAATGAAGGTCACAGCCTTTAGGAGGATAAATTTGTGCTGCACAACTGAGAATCTGGATGCTTCCAGCTTGAAAATGCCTCTCCGTGAAGCCTGGGAAAGCAAAGCGTTAGAAGACGGAAACTGAGCACATTCATCAAAACCACCTCACAATAGGTAAGGGTTTTATTTTATTTTGTTACAAATTCCGCGACAATAATGTGAATCGTGAATTTAATAAGCCTTGCATGAATAATGCTTGATTGCATCTTTACTTTTTATTAGATAGCTAAAAGGTCATATTCAAAGGCTAATTTCATAGCATGCCTGTGGGGGCCATTAAAATATATACCTCCCCCAGCCCTTTACCTCAAATGGGCCAGTTTCTAATGGATAAAAATTGTATATTTGTTGACCAGTTTGCTGACGTGGCAGATAACATGGTAGGAAAGACTTGGAAATTATCTGTTAGCTGTTATCTCCGAGAGGGGAGGCTGGGGGGAGGAGGGAGACCAAAGGCTGAAACAGAGATCAGCTGACTTGTAGTTCGTAAGAGGATTAACCATTGCTTTTTTCCCCCCGAGATTGGTAAAGCACACAAAGAATATGCAAGTTTTCATAAAAACAACTGACCCTTTGTCTTTCTAGTATCATTGAACTTGACATTTCCAGTCTCTGCGCATCAGAGCCCATTGAGAGATCGTCCATAGCAGAGGGTCACATGCGCCACACATCTTGCCTTAACAGCTATTGGGATCTTCTATGCATGACCATGAAAGATGCTCCACCCCGCCCCCGGTGCTCAAAGCTCGAAATTTTCTGCCGAGGTCTCAGAATCTCATATACCCCATTCCTCACAAGCAGAGCTAACTATCTCCGTTCCAATATCCCTTTGTACAATTCAGTTCATTTCTCCAGAAACCTTAGTTTGGTGAAATTAACCAAAGGAAACGCTTAGGAAAAGGAAGCAAAGGACGAGGGGACTTAGTTCTTTAACTTCTCCACGAGAATATCTTGCAACATATGAGAGAACGGAAAGGTGTGAAAATATATGATGCAGATTAACATGCAATTGTACTCACGGATCATTTGACTTGGGAATCAAAGTACCTAGTTCTTTAATGCGGTCATTTATGTTAAATCTTCGTCTTCGTTCAACTTCAAGAAAAGAGCATGGGAGAGGGCCATTAGTAGCAGTGGCACACCGGCGTTCAGCACATCTCGTTAAAGGCACGTGCACACTGACCTTACCCGCCAGGACAATGTAAACTTGAACCTGCGTCCCCCTGTGCTTATCTTACTTTGGGATGCTAGAGGGTAATGAACGTTAAGAATAAACGAGCTGCTTTCGGAGTGCTCTCATTTACAAAGCTCTGAGCTATGCAGTTCCCCACTGGATTCTGTACTAACCCTGAAAATCCGGGCTGCATCCTCAGCTACACAACAAAATTGGACGAATCTGCATTGTGCTTGTTTAACGGGAGAGAAAACAAATTTGCACTGACGAGATGTGCACAGATCTGCAATGACACAGTTAAAAATGCAGCGGCCCCAGTTTCCCACTGGTGGGGCAGCAAGTGCCTGCTCAGGCACAGCAGCAGAATTACTTTTAAGGGTGAACCTTGAGTTTTACATAACTTTTACTAATCGCAGGAAACCGCTCTGATTTTGATTTCCTTTTAGCACTTAAAATAGCAAAATGTTTGTTTTTGCTCATGGAATACACAAAAACAACTCCTCCAGCCAAGGACTGACAAAAATAAATATACAAGTTACATATGTGGTTTTAGATTCCTGAGTGGCCCTGCTAAACTAGTACAAAGAAAGACATTAAATTAACTTTAATATTTCATTAAATCCATTCTCTATAAGCCCTCATCATTTTAGCAGGCAATAAATCTTTGAAAATTAAATTAGAAGGCACACATTCTTTTCTTCACACTAAGCTTTTGAAATCAAAATATTTTACACTTCAGCATATATATGTGCTAGGCAAGTGTCTTCCCAGCCTGGTTCCCAGGCCAGTGTGGCCCAATTTGAGCCACCCACAGTCCAGATGCTCTAGGCATTTAATGGCAAGTAACTACCATACAGGACAACGCACAGCATTTCGCTACATTGTGCATCCTGAGAGCATCTCCATCCTGTGATCTATGTCACATGGGCTATCAGGATTCATAAGTGAGGTCACGTCAACCCTTAACCCCACCCCTATCACTTCCCATTTTATCCACGGAAATGTTAAGTCCTTGAGGTATCCTCCAAGGATCCGGTGGGCCCTGCCAGTAGCACTTTTTGCTCCTCTTGCAGTGTGACAGCATCTTTCCTGGCCATTCGCCTGTGTTCTTTCTGCTTTGTCCCTGCTGGCTCCACTATTCCCACACCCAAGCCAGATATGCATTGGCCACATTCATATGTGCTCCCATTTGTCCAGAACACTCTTCCTCCAGGTCCCTAAGGAGCCATTTCCCCCTGTAAGGAGCAACTCAAGTTTACCTATATGAGTTCCCAGGTGGTCCCATTTAAAATGACCCACTATCCCCATGCCTCTTACAACACTATATTCCCTGGGCTCCCTTTCATCTTCTCACAAGACTCTGAATCTAATACTTAGTATTCACCTATTATTTTCACTGTTGCATTCCAGGCAACAGCATGAGCCTGGCACAGAAGTGTAACCAAAGTGTCTTGACAGTAGGGTTACAGTAAAACATCCTGAGCCTGCCTCTTCTCACTTCCTGCACACCTGTGGGCTCTGGCACTGTCGACATTTGGAGATGCCACATTTACCTTTCATGTAGGAGCTTCCTCTTTCTTCCGATATGTAATATAGAAGTGAGATAACTTTAGAAAACTCTTTTTAAAGAACGCCCTAAAGTGCATGAAGGTAAAGGCTAAAGGAACCCCTAACATCGCCCAGCATCTACATGCCTGGGGCAACTATCACAGATAAGCTGGCTCCTAGATTTTGTCCTGGGTACCCACACATCCTCCTGTGTGACATCTATGGCCATCCTTCTTGTTCCTCTCAGTAATTAGTATGTGGCACCTGACGTGTGACTTGAATGTGCCTACTGGTAGGGAACCTGTTTGGCAAAAGCTCCTGGAATCACACTGGCACTCAGTAACTTGCAAGGGTTGAAAGAAAGACTGAATACATGAAGGCGTCTGTTTGCACATCTCAGCAAGTGTTTTCAGAGGCTAAATCCTAGGGAAGGAGGGCTGAACCATGGTCAACAGGACCCTGAGTGTTAGTTCCCAGGAGTTAGACAAGACTCAAGAACTCCATCTTAGAGCTGACCCCATCTGCAATTTACTGACAACCTTGAACGAGAAGGCTCTGGTGGGGACTTGAACACAGCACTATTCTTGATAGGATCCAATTTCATTTCCTATGTTTCAGTTATGTGATGTTTAGATACGACATCATTATTTTACTTCTAGGGGGTTTTAAGAGAAGGACTGTCTCTGAGTAAAATTATTTAAAATTTGGAGGAAATGTTTGAGCCACAAGCTCAAAATCTTCAGCTTAAAAATGACACAAGCTTCTCAAACCGAAGCCAAAAATGGGGAGAGCAGTAGCGATGAGAGTTGGCACCCCGGGCATGGGGCCTCACCAGGGCAAGTCTCAGTGCGCAGCCCAGAGAAGTCAACCTCATGTGCACAAGAGGTCAACATAACATGTTCCCAGGACAATGGACTTGAGAAACTAGCAACAATACAAAAACACAATGGTGAAACAACTAAGAACAGAGTCATGAAACCCTGTCTCGAAAACAAACAACAACAAAAAAAAAACAGTCATGTAGAAAAATACTGTTTTTTTTTTAAGGAATTAACATCACGTTCTTAGCACATACTGTTCAAATAAATAACTAGCAAGCAGCAGCAGACTGTGAAGGCTATGATAGGATGGATTGAAACACACAAAGCAATGCTTTTCATTCTCTGTGTGCACCTAATTTCACAGGGAACAGTCGGGGAAAGCAATGCCTAACCGAAACAAGCAGTGTCTTTATTCGGCGGTTAGAGCAGAGTGAGGCTCCTCTCTTATCTTTTTTCTTTTAAATCAAAAGCAACTCATGTTCTTAAAAATCAATTCAGAAAAAAAAAAAAGTAAACCGAGAATTTTATGCTCCTTTCAACTTCAACCTCTAACTAAATCTTCCTTTTCTCTTCAGGGTCTCTATTAACTGCATAGCTGAAGTATAAGCTTTCCCAGGACAAGGCTTCAGTTTATGAAGAGTAAACCCAATGCATAAAAATATCTAATGTTACGTAATATTTTAGAGAAACAAATATACATCATAAATTCGGGGGACTGCTTCACCCACTCTGCCCTTTACCTGTGTATCTTTCCTCTGCCTTTGTCTTCTCTTTTTAAAACTTTGAAATAGCATTGGAAAAGGTGGATACCAAATCCTCTTTTGCTAATGTTCCAGTGTAAGCAGTACTCAGAATTGGGTAGTTGGGGATCAAGACTCCCTTTAAACACACACACACACACACACTGCATGTATTACCACAAAGAAACATAGAAAATCTTCAAAACTAGAAAACTTATGTGTATGTATACACACAAACATATATAAAACATGTTTGATATGAAATAAAGTCTCTCTGAAATACTATCAATGCACCTTTAACAACTAGAGAAATTAACTTTCCTCTGAAATTAATGAAAGCAACTTTTCAATACACGAAGAACGCTGACTTTATGGTCAAATGAATGTAAATCAAGCAAACTTACTCAAGTTGTGATTGTCCTTTTTTTGCCTCTCTTTGGCCAGTGCTCTTGCTTCAGACTCTGTGGGGAAAATACACGCTGTGCACGTGAATGAAGTCATTAGAAACTGGAACTGTTTGAGGGACACAACAACGTCAATCACAAAGCCTCTCTCTCTTCAGAACATGTGAAGCTTACCTCCCTGGAGTCTAGTGAAAATGACACTTTCCAAGTTATAACGTCTACTTCTACCACTACACGTATCAAATCTCTGCCAAGCTAAGTTCCCACAAACAAGATGAAGTGACACCAAGTCACAGCACACCAAGCCTATACTCCAGTACTAAACAGAATAAGACAAATAGAAACAATTTGATGTCATATCATTTTTAAAATTTACTTATTTTATTTATTTATTTATTTATTTATTTATTTATTTATTTATTTATTTATGTGCAAAAGTGTTTGCCTGTGTCTATGTGCATGTATTGTATGTGTGCAATCACCAACGAAGCCAGCAGAGGGCATCAGATCCTCTGAAACTTGAGTAACCAATAGGTGCAAGCCACCATGTGGGTGCTCTTAAACACTGATAACATATTCTGTGATTAGGAGTTATTTTCAGAACAGATAACTTCTCAGTGTTTTTATGACTTTGTAATACGGTGACAGGAAAACTGGGGTGATGCTGCTGTATCTGTTCTCCATGGCCTCGGAGCTCATGAGAATGATGTGGAGCCAGGTTCTGTCAGAGTATACCATGATGCTTAGGAGTTACTATGTATGCATTCTTTGTCTGTCTATAAAAACATAAGTCAGGAAGGGTCTAGATGCATTTGGTGCCAATTCCATTTGAAAAGCTGTATTTGAATAGCAACTTATGTGATATTTAGGTGTCAAGAATTTTTTTTTTTGCCTTGTGAAGAACAAATAGAAGTAGCAAACCGTGCTGTTTATTGATGCTAAGACTTATTATACCATGTTAGTTTCCTTTCAAAAGTGATACGTGAAAGAGTACACTAAAGATGTAGCATTTTACCACAAAATAGCAAGACTTACAGCTTCTGAGACAAATTTATTCACTACATTAAACTGTATGTATATAGGATAAATATGAACACCCATGCCATACTGCACTGCAATAGTCAGAGGCTGCACAGAATGTGGATTAATTAATACTACATCACTCGGTGATATTACAGCCTTCTTGGTCTAGGCGACGCCAGTCTGTGAAGTTCACAGCAAACTACAATCACCATGTGATCTACTTCCCAGAACATGCCGTGGTCATCATGAAACTCCTAATTGCAGATGCATGTATGTAGACAGAATTAAAATTAGAATCTGCTAAATTCAGATGATAAATCCAAGTCATTCTCTCTCCCTTTCTACGCAGAAGGATAAAAAGGTTTTACTTTTCATGGCTGCTTAATAATTTTTTATGTTTTTGCTCTTGATAGTCTTTGTTTATTAATAAATTACCATTAAACCCCAGTTAATACCTTTTTTAAAATTTTTTTCTGTTAAAATTTTCTGAAATAGTTTTTGTAGTAATATCTTCGGACAGGCTAGAAATCTTTACAACAAATCCATATGCCATAATTTTACCCCACCCCCAGTTCTGCAAGAGGCAAGAACTAAATAATAAAAAGGGATTTGGGGCAAGGACCATAAAATCCACCATGGTAGAATGCCAGTTCTAATACAGTTTCTGTCATGTTTTATTGGTCAAATGCCTTCCCTAAAGCATCAAAGAAAGTGGCAAGATAGGTAATTTCACACTTGCCTCTAGAGCAAACATTCTGATGGCTCCATTTTATGATTTATTTCTCCTTCTATAATAAATCTCTTGTACAATGTACAGTAAAAAGAGTGGGCAGCATCTAAAGATGTGAGAAATAAATTCTTTGCTCGATCCCAAATGTGGCCTTGAATGGCAAACAACATTCAAAGCAGGGTTCTCCAACTCTCATCTCCAGGGGCTTGGGTAGGGGAGAGGAACTTTACAGGGGACAGTACTGCCTAACACCCCCAACCAGAGTGTCTAGCAGCCATAGACAAAGGTACTCAGCAAACACCGGAAACTGTATTCTAACATCTTAATGTCACATGTTAAATCACTGCACAAAGCCTCAGGGACCGCAGGCACTAGCTGCACAGGGAACACTGCTGCTACATGGATAATGCTGTCCACTGAGGAACAGAGCAGAGGATCATGGTAAGAGGCATATGTGCTAGGTACATACCTGTGAGCTCCCTTTTTATGTTAGGAAGGTTGGCTGGGCAAGAGTTGCTGATGGTGAGGCCCGGGGGTGGCAGGCCCTGGTTGCTGTATAGGTCGATCAAGTTTCCAGAAACAGGTAACTAGACACAGACAAGAAGAGCAATGACTTGTTGAATGACTGCTGAGTGTGTTTTTAACAAAACTCACAGCCTATTCCAGGCTTTGTGTGAAGGACGTTCTTTGCTATACAGTGCTGTGTTTTAAAACCAGGAACGTATGCACATCCGCGCAGAATCACACATTCTGTTTGTGCAGAGAGAAGAAAGGATGGTCTCACGCTGACTACCATCAGGGGGGGTGCATTCTAAGCATAGAGAGAGCATTACCTGCTACCAACGCGGCAGATGTCCCAGCGGTGCTGGCTACTCCTGAGAGATAAGATTTTGTGCAACTTCCATCAAAGTTCGCTTTCTTCCTCCCATCCTTCACCTCTCTCTACTTTTCACTCTTTCTTTTTATAAAGAAAAACAACGGCAAATGCTTCCTTTTTGTAAAGCCATGTCCCTTATGACAAAAGAAAAAGCTGGCTTCCTTGAGATTGAAATTATTCCAAGAACCACAAGAGGGAGCCCAAAGACTTTAATAAAAACTTTCCACGGCTAAGAAAAGGCCTAAAGGCATAGCAGCCTGACTAAACTACTTTGAGTGGCACCGTCTCTTCAGATTCTCCTGGGGTATTGTAAAGCAGTAAATTCATTTTCATTATTTTCTTTGACAATGATGTCCCAGTTGGCTATAGATTTCCTCATAGCTAGGTGGCCATGGTAGAGTCACAAGTTCCTCTTATGGCCTGGAAAACTTCCTACACGTTAGCTGTCCCTTATTCCTTCCATCATAGACCCTCAGCATTTCCAGACGACTATAATTATTAAGTCCTCGACACCTGCATCAGCCGCCCCTCCCTTACCTGATCACATGTTCTCTGCTATGTATTAAACATGTACTTTCAGAAACCACTCTGAGTATAATTAAAACTCAGAATGACTCAGTCAGTATAGAGGATTCGTACTCAGGATAAGCTACCCTTACTTGAAAAGCTTGAAAAGGGGTGAGGACGTTTTACCTTTTAAAACTTTATAATGTTTAAGTGCACATTTATCTTGGGGACAGCACCCAGATACAAACATGCAATTTATTTAAGTTTCATTTACATCTTATAAATGTGGCCAAAAGATAACTTTGCACTTTTTTTTTTTTTTTTTTTTTTTTT